AGAGAGAGAGAGAGAAAAGAAAGGATATCACAGAACCGAATGAGGTTTCCAGAGAAATTCTGGCTTGAACAAAGCAATGAAAAACTGTGGTCCTTTGGAGAAAATATCTGGACAGGACTGAATGGGAAATCAAAGACAAGAGTTTGGATCTTGACCACCCCATGTTCTAGCTGTGGGACTTTATATTAAGCTGCACAGCCATATCTACACCTCAGTTTTTAGCTTAAAATGAAGAAGTAAGTCTGGTGAAATGATAACAGACATCCTCTGACTTCTGTATAAAGACACTGTGAGGGTGAGTGGAGATAAAATCTGCCTGAGTCTCACCTCATTAAACTGTAAGGTACTGTGTATCAGACGGCCAGTGTGGACGGAGGGAGGAACACACACAAAGCTTATCTTGTGCCCAGGACTCGGCCTCCTGTCTCTTGTGGTACTTGGAGCAAGGCAGGACCCACACTGGCAATAATTCTCTGTGAGCTGCCATCTGGTCCCAGAAGTCCCTCTCCATTGGGTCTGTCTCTGCAGTGATGACCCTTAGGTTTTCTAGTAGCCTACATCTGGGTCGGAGAATCATGCCTAGTATTACAGTTACCTTCCCACTTTTCAAATATTATGTCCTTGACTCTGGCTGTCACTATGCAGATTTACCCAAGCCATCCTCAATCAACCATCGCAGATAATAATGAAAAAAAATCTTACAAAAAGTCCATTTGGGGCAATTCTAGCAAAAAAAAAAAAAAAAGAGGTTCTGATAGATCTGGGTATAAAGGTAAGTGTAGGCACACTCACATAACTGCTGTTCCTTATTATTCCTTATTATCCAACAGTGAGTTGGATGCTGTCATGATTGTCCATTTACAGTTGAAGGAATTGAGGCACAGTTTTGTGAGATGAACTCAGACCTTACAGCCTTAGAACTTGAATTTTTCAACATTGTCACTACACAGATACCAATTTCCTTGTTATAAAATGACAACTTTTTGAGTTGGGGACTATCTTATTTTAGTCTCTACCATTTTTTCCCCCAGCATTCACATTGTCTTGTAGTTATGTAGCCTCCTTGAAACAGTTTCCTGCTGGGCATGGTGGCACATGCCTGTAATCCCAGCACTTGGGAGGCTGAGGCAGGAGGATTGGTGTGAGTTCAAGACAAGCCTGGGCTACAAAGTGAGCTCAAGACCAGCCTGAACTGCATAGCAAGGCCCTGTCTAAATAAATAAATAAGAAACAGTTCCTTTATCTGTAGAACAGGGAGAACCTTCACCGCCATGCTGGTCTTCCCCATAGTGCTGTGATACCCTGCTGGTGGGTGCTGCACTGAAGGGCTAAGTTATTTGTATCCTTCCCAAGGTCTCTGAGCCCTGGGGAAACCATGGAAACCTCCAATGAGGAGGACATCAGGCTCCCTTTCAGGATGCCTCATGTTCCTGGTGAGGGATGGGGAGTGTTATGATGTACAAACCCTGGGAGGTCATCTTGCTGACACTTTCTATTTGATGGAGGAGGCAGCTCGTGCCCAGAGGACAGGGAAAGCTGGAGCTGCTCACAGACTCCAGGCCAACTGTTCATAGATTGCAAGGGGCGCAGGGAGAGAAGAGGATGGGTGCATCTTTCTCTGGGCCCCTTCCCTGCCTCGATTTTAAGCCTGGCTCGTGTCACAGGACATGTGAACTTGAATATAAACATTATGTTAAACTCTCAACTGTAAGATGGGGGTAATAACTGCACATCTATCTCATAGAATTGCTGTGAGATTTTGATGTAAGCAGAGCTTTCAGAATCCTGGCTGGCACACGATAAACACGGTTAATGGGTCCTTCACAGAGGGCCAGTTCTTCCATAACGGCTCTCTGGGGGTGTACTAGATTCATCTTTCCACACATTCACCCTTTATATCCAGACCTCCTGCCCTCTCCTTTCCATGCCTACTCTGTGCTCCTGTTAATGTCTTCAGGCACTTCCATCTGACCAAATCCTTGCAAGCCCA